GTCATGAGTTCCAGCGCCTTACGAGGCTAGCATCCCGCTCTCACACCTTCACTGTCGAAACTCCAAAAATTAGCCGTCTCTTCTACTCTAATAGCTTCATGTCTCGCACCTCTCGCCTGTGGAACTCCCTCCCCATTTCCTGTTTCCCTGTGAGCTATAATCTCCAGCTATTCAAGTGTAATGTCAATCGACATCTCCAGTTGCCTTGATCTATCCACTACCCGCATCCTTTCTTCTATCACTCCTATCTGATCTTGGTCTAAATTTTCTGTAACCCCTTGCGTCCTAGTGGCTTCCCGCCTTGCTTGGGTGAAATTCTTAAAAAAAAAATATATATATATATATAAATATAAATTGGATACATATAATAGATCATTCAGTTTGAAATAAATCAACAATGTTTTGCGGCAATTTTTAACATCAACTTGAGATTTTTCTTGATAAAACTCTATCTATAAAAGGCAGGATGTGTGTGTGTGTGTGTGTGTGTGTGTGTGTGTGTGTGTGTGTGTGTGTGTGTGTGTGTGTGTGTGTGTGTAACGAATGCACGGCCGCAATTTTCGACGGATTTGCACCAAAATTTACATGCACATGCTCCAAGTTAGCGGGAAGACCGACCTTGCATTTCCCAACTCCCATCGATAGTGGAAATTTCATGTAATTTGCGGCCATTTTCTACTGGCCAAAGTGAGAGCCTATATACTTTAAAGGCAAGGAAGGGCAAAAATATTTTAAGTCAAGTGATAGCGATTGCTGTATGAGTCGTACGATGTTTGAATCAAGCACGGGCAACGCCGGCCCATGCTGCTAGTAGTTGCATAATTTAAGGTATTCAACATTACGGATAAAACACATACGGAATTTTATGTAGTACTTTTTTTTTTCGAGACTTTGTATGAGCAAAACAAATTCACAGATTTGGACGAACAAAAGGCCCCAAAATGATATCAAAATACCCAAGTTTTTTATCCTTTAATAATCAGTTGTGCATAGATTAATTTGTAACCTATATAAAAGTAGATAGAAAAAAGTAAATGTTGATAAGATACAGTGGATCACAAACCACTGCCCGGTGCACCCAATGAGGCTTGCGTCTCTCCCGGTTGGGGTTTTATTAGGCTAGTACGGACTGGATTTGATTAAATTATCCCTTGTAAAATATCTTGTAGTGTCAAATAAAATTTAAACTTTTAATCTTGCACAGGACACAAATGACAGGCTCCTCGGTTTGGGATCACTCGGTTAGGATCTATCTCTCTGGCTTCAATAATCAACTGTGAGCATTCAGTAAAGGCATTCTCATTTTTGTTCCTCTTGAACTTTTCAGTAATAATTGTATTGCAGACCATTTCAAAGCCGTACTTTGATATTAACCTGATATAAGGCATTTTGATATTAACATGATATGAGGTATAAGGTTACATTTCATACTAAAACACCGCAAGCTTGAATTAATGGAATTGTGATTCAACAATATTAAATCAAAATATTTCTGGAGATGTTATTCTATATCTACTGGTATTGTTCCGATTTAGAAAGGGTCAGGTGTAACATAACATTTCACGAAATCTGAACAAAATGATATTTCTAACTCTACAGTTCGGTCAACTGATTTCCGAATTGACCTTTACAGAAAGCGCACAGGATAACTTAATATAAAATCTGAATACGCTTCTTCCTTTGTGGAAATCCAATGCATACTTTGCATATAATCGTCCACTTGCTAGTAAAACCTTGAAGGAATTATATAATGTGCGTAGGAAAAGATTAACGCCTGCAATATCTTAATGCTTAGGATTCATTGGTAAACTTAATTAATCCTAGAGAAATAATCTTTTCTTTCTTGTGCAGTTTCTCAAATGTCTCTCTTATAATAAAACAATGACTTGTTGCGAGTTTCCGAAACACCAATCTGCTAGTTGGCGTAGGTAAACTCTACTGGAGACGTCCGTTCGTGTTACTTCAACACACGCAGATCAACATGTGGTCTACATTACGATTAAGCTGAACAGATTTTAGTTACGCTTTCCTGGGAAAGAGCACATAATCTGGCGTGATTAAAAGTTTCGGACAAGACCAGTACACTCAAACCCTTAGCCTCTGACTTGTTACTTTGTGCTAGAACAATGGACTGCTTCCGAATAGTTTCGTCCCCCCAACCGATTTCGCTCACAAGGCTTGGGTCAAACCGTGGCTTGATTTTCAATCCCTTTCAAACGTTGGCATCCGTTAAAACCGTCTTCCCAGGCCGATATAATCAAGAGCTCACCTGCCTGACTTTCGAATAAAATAATATCTTCTGTAAACATTATATAAAATAAGTTTTATTTAGTCTTGAATCAAAAATATATCGGGTGTTAATTCGTCCTACTTTGATGTGTTAATAGAAATTATCATGAATATCAAAATTAGATATATTTTTTTATCATTTTGTTGTGGCGTCTTCTTACAAATTTCCATAACTAGACCGAGCCCAACGTTATAGTCATACTAAAAGGCAATGTTATTTTTTTTTGTTTTTACTAATGCTGGCATTATTTCAAATTATTCTCCTTAGCAATTTTTCCTGTTTTATTTTCTATTTTTATCGAAGCATATTTTGCGGAATATTCTCCGTTACACGAAAACGTCGAAGTGCCAATCCGTTAAACAAAATGAATCAGTAATAAAATGGAGTTGCCGAGAAAATCTATATCCTGGAAGTACATCTTACATGCACATCGTTTTAACCCTTAGAGCCCCGCGTTCCTGAACAATTTTAACCATTCTGCCTGAATTCCTGAGTCAAGATTTGCAAATATTTGGTATGTAATGTTTCATGGTAGATATAAAAATAGTTAAAACTGTTTCGCCACCGTTCAACCGGTGGCTGAACATTAAGATATTTTTCTCTACCACTGTTCAACCGATGGCTGGACATTACGTCATTTTTCTCTGCCACCATTAAAGCGGTGGTCAGGGCTCAATGGTTTAAGATTCAACCACAAAAGCCCATACTTAAACTTCCGAAAAGGGAGAAGGCTTCTATAAAATGTAATAATTATTAATAATAAAAATTATCTGTGAGAGTCAATCTCACAAAAGAGGACATGCGATTTACGAATTCGTTAAAAGCTCTTTTTATCCGAACATAACATTCCATATTTTTACATCAACATTCTTTGAGACAGTTAATGCTTTATCTTAAAGCGTCTCGAAGCTTGGACACAAACTTGCTCCCAAACCCATTTTTTATAACGGAAAGTATCGCTTGTATACTCTTTATTATTCGGACCAACGTGGTCTTTTTGGATGTCATACTCACCCGTTTTTTTTTTCCGTTGTGCCGTCCGGCCTTCTTTACTTGACTGTCGTCGGAATCGGTAACATTCTGAGAATTTTGAGCTTAACATTTATTTAATTCAGATGTGGATAATTCTCATACCGTTTTCAATGATTAGGTGATATCACTGATTAGTAAATACATACACATTTAATTCATGCCTGTTTCCATTGTCTAAATTTTTCGACTGCACAAGTGTATGTGACATTTTAGTACTAGGAGAACCAAGGATTGAACTCACAACCGGCAGCATGTAAAATATATTTTAGTTAACGAATTCATTCACTAGTGACTAAGTCATATGCCTTCAATACCTGTATTAGGTAGTGTTGAAAAAGCCACACAGTTTGGTTCGGTGGAAGAAAGGACAAACAATAGCAATGATGAGCCTTAACGAATATAATATATTACCTAAGCTTGAAAAATAGTTTTTTTTTTCAATTGTAGACAATGATACCTTTTATGAAACGGATTAACGTTCATCAAAGATTTTCGTAAACCTTATTACAATTACGTACCCAAGTTTGTGTTTTGTTTTTGTCCTGGTTTGAAATTAAAGTTGTAGTATCGTATGCAAATTAGATAGACAAGTATAAATAGAGAATAATTGGCAAACAGTGGCTATGCCTAGTAAACCCGGTTGCTATACAGGGCAGGGAGAACTGTACTACGACTACTAGTACGTAGAGAGGTGTGCAAAAACATAACAAAAGTATTGTTTGTGTTCTGTAAAACTTCATTATCCTTTCAGGTTTCGTACTTTCTGGGCTGCTGATAAATCTTTGCGTTTATTTTGAAATATGTCTTCATTGCTTTTGAACCACGCTTCGAACATTATTTAATTTTAGGACTCGTGCATTAAAGCAGTTATTGAATTGGAAATTGTCAAAGGTGGAGAAATTACTAGGTTTTTATAAACAAGTGAACATTTGTTCGGACATTGATTGTGAAAGATTCGTTTTCTGTTGTAAAATTATCTCAAATTCATCCATTTTTCTTCTACAATGAATTTCCCCTTGAGATTGTTTTCTGCATCTTCATCGCTAGTTCCTTATTATATCCGTTCGAATTCGCACAGCTAGTTTTTATAGATGCGGCCGTTATTTAGTTTCAAATACGTCAGAGATGTCACAACCATTTGTTCCTGCCTCAGTAGCAAATCCACTAGATCGGACAAAGAAAATTTGGTTGTTGTCTTGAAAAGGACCGCCAATCAGTGGTTAACTGGAGCAAGACATGACTTATAAATTTGAACGCCTTCAAAACAAAACTACTTTCATTTCATCCCCACATGTTTCCTGCCTGCCATCAGCATGGCTGGTGTTAAACTCCAGGACAGCAACAGTCTACAGCTTCTCGGACTCTCTTTTTCTACTGACATTAAGTGGAGTCACTATATTGAATCAATTGCTTTTCTACTGCAAGGAAAGTTGTGTCGTGCAAGCAAATGTTTCCCGTCAGAATCCATCTTGCACAAGAATCTTCTTTTTTAGATAATAAGAGATTTAGTTATGCAATCTTACTAATTAAACCTATAGCTACGGAGAAGAGATGGATTCAACCCTTTTCCAATGGTATTGGCACGTAGGTGAATATAATGAACATATCTGAAATTGGATCTCGGCTCTCCAATTAACAATTCCGAGCCATTGTCCATTACACCACCCACATATCTAGGTTACAGCACCTGGTATTTCCAAGCCACACCCCATCTAAGAACTGACCAGGCTCGACGTTACTTAACTTCAGTGATGGTATGAGAACCGGTGTTTCAACGCTATATGGCCGTAAACCTCTGAAGATGGAATTGAAGTGTGGAACTAACAGTCACCATGTATTGTTAATTCTTATGCCCTCGTTGCCTAAATCAAACATGAGCAAACTTTTGCTGACGGCGGGGTGTGGGGGGGGACGAATGAGGTACAGTAAATAAGGTGGGCCCCACTAATAAAAAATTCAAATTATTTTTTCATTAAAATCACCGAAGCCATTTCCACAACAAAAGACCAAGTGCATGAGCATCGTCATCAAAATTAAGAAAAAGTTGATTTTTTCTTTGAAGAAATTATACCTTCTATAATTAAAAAATAACTGAAATATTTGTCTAATAATATCTTGTGATTAACACACGCTGTCAAGTTTTGATTTGTTTCTAATTTATTCATTTGAATGTACAAAATATTTGTAAAAGAATAAGTATATTTATTCTTTAAGGAATTGAATTTTTCTGTGTCTGAAGATATTTACACGTATGACCTTCTGTAGTGGAAATTGCCAATGGCTTGAAATGCTGACAAAGTTACCTTCAACAAAAAATTACCAAATTTAAGAAACATTGTAATTAATCATTGTTCATATATATTGTTATGCACGAGAGTGTGTGAGGGAACAAGTGAAACGAAAGGAAACAAACAGTATTTTAATAAACGTCATTTTCCTTAAGTAATCGGGCGTGCTATTCAGAAAGTCAATCGAACCGCTTCTGGCCATAACTAGTCTGGCCATAACTGGTCTAGATCAATAAAGGCTCAATCTCCAATATTGGTTATACTTCCTCTATAAATATAGATAATTAAACTCTCAAACACACACACAACGTAAATTTATGAAATTGTTTTTTATGTAAATATTGAAAATCTAATATTTAAAACTCTTTATTCGAATAAAACTCACTGTGTGCCCCTTACTCTCGTCCTTGTGTCACATATAAGCTAAGTTTAGAAAATCATTGGGCGCTTCAACGTAGCGTAATAGCAAGCTTGTTTCGCTAGATCAATTAAGACTGATGGCGAGTTCGATCCTCACTGGGTGCCCTTTACTTTCGTCCTTGTGTTACATATAAGCTAGGCTTAGAAAATCACCATAAGTAATTGACTGCCTCCACATGGATTAAAATGTTACAGCCACTAAACTGACGTAACATTAACGTTTGAATATATCAGTATCAAAAAGAAAACATTCGAATGGCAAAAACATGATTTTATTTAATATAATACCGGTACATAGTTGAGAACTAAATATGGCATCTTGTTTACTGTATATAAGGAAAGTAATAAAACGTACAACAATGACCACATTCATATATGTAGATATATAGACATTTCTTAATTTATGAATAGTTTCTAATGTAAAAGCGTGTGTATAAGAATTTATATGCGTCTTTTTTATCCTTATAAAATACTTGCAGTATCAATTTGAAATATTGTCATCTATTGCAGATAAACTGAATGATTTGCTTGCAAATTCTCGTCAGACGTAGCTTTAATAAACGTAAAACATGTTAGATTGTTATACGTTTCCTATTTGTTTGTTTTTTATTTTATTTTATCATCCTGTCGGATTCCAAACAATATTTTATCTGCATTTGATCTTTAACTCTCTCTCTCTCTCTCTCTCTCTCTCTCTCTCACACACACACACACACATATATATATATATATATATATATATATATATATATATATACAGTGACCTAAGGAAAGTTTTTAGTCAGGAGAAATAAACTACTTTCAATTTCAAAATTTAATTACGTAATCCCTATTTAACAGCATTTGGAACTAGTATGGAGTAGGTCCTCCATTTGCTAGTTTCAATACTTGTATTCGATTTCTATGGATTTAATCAAGTTATTGTCTGATCCATAATTGGACACTCCTTTAACAATGTTTCTTTAAGGGTTGCCATTGACATCATTTTGGTTGCACGCTCTTGAAGTCTTCGGTCAAGGTGCTCCCAAGCGTGCTTTATTGGATTCATGTCAGGATTTTTGGCTAACCATGGCAGTGACTTGATTCCTTGCCATTCATTCCAGACTTTTGCAATTTTGCTCGGATGACATGGCGCTGCATCTTCTTGAAAAAGGTAGAGATTCTTGTCAATCTGATTGGTTTCAAATAGTGGAAGTAGTCCTTTCTCTAATATTTGACACTATTTTGGACCATTCAACCGCTAGTCAAGTATCAGCTCCAAAACAGACAGCACACCACACCATTACTCCAATCCCTCCATGTTTCACGGTCGCCTGCAGACATTCAGTGTTCTAAGTCTCATTCTGATTTCTCCAAACATAAATCTATCTCGAATTCGAATATTGGCAGAATTTACTTTCATCTGACCAAATTACAGACTGCCAAAATTCATAATCTTTGCTCTCGAATACTCTCGCCCAGTCCATACGCCTGTTCCTGTTAACATCTGAAATCAAGGGCTACTTTCTTGCAACTCTTCTTTGTTAGCCTAGCTATTTCAGAGTCTTTCTCATCGCATATGGCGACATTTCCATGCTGTTGGCGCTATCTTTGACGCCCTGACGACGGTTTCTGATGACTTCCCAATTCAGTGCACTTTTCGTTCGTTCAGACACGATGCTTGGTCTTCCTGAACGTTGTTCCACGCGACAATGGCCTTCTTCATTACATTTCTTGACAATATTTGATGATCACGTGTAAAAATATTGTTTTTATTGTTGTGTAGACGGATTCAACCATTTTCTTTTGATTTCTTAATAGAGTTGTGTACGTTTTCTTGGAAGAGTAGTAATTCTGTTAGGAAAGGTGGTATAGGAAAAAGACCTGGGCGTAGATTAATATTTGGATAATATTCAATGGCGGCACTCTCGAGAATTTTCCTTCTGAGTGAGTTATTTTCGTATGAGTGTAGCATTTATAAAATCAAAATATAGATTGAATTTATTTCTATGTATGATTAGTGTATTAGTTAAGTTGTTTTTTTGTGGGATTTCTTTTGTGCTCATAGATGCGTTTTTTTTTTTTTATTTCTGCTTGTTTCTCCAATATATTGCGAGGAACAGTTTTTAGCAATTTATTTTATAAATGCCTACTTCAGAAATATTATTGCTATTAGTGTTTGAGGATCTGAGTATATCCATAACGGTTTTGGATGTGTTTGTGATTATTTTAAGATTATTTCGATGGGATAGGTTGTTCTGGATATTAATACAGTTTTCCTATTGTCTTTTACCTTTATACATATTGTCTTTTTCAACAACTTAACTCTGAGAAATTTATATATATATATATATATATATATATATATATCCAATTATATAATTTTGCTACAAAAGCTACTGAACATTATAGCATTACCAATAACCAATTTTAAATTTATATGTGGAACACGTGTTTATTTTAACCTATAAACAGACATAAACAATATACCTACTAATCCTTTGTCATTATAGTTTTACCAGCAACAAAATTCTATTACAGGCTCAATTATCTTTGTCTGTGTTGAGCTGCTTATCAATCAATAAGCAATCAGTAGTTTATCTTGTGATTCCATTGAAGGAAACGTGAACCCTTGTTGCACTGATGGTAATAATGAAAGCAAGAAAAACACGCAAGTTCAATCTTTTCGTGTTTTTCTTTTCATTCTCAGTCAAGCCAACTAAGAAAGTGGATTAATGTTGTCAGATTATATCGTGGGTCCTCCTGCAGTTGAATAAGTCACAGGTTGCGACAAGCAAATTGGTTTGTTGATTTTTTTTTTACGTAGTCTTTTCCCGATGAAGCGATTTCGGGTCGGGTGACATAGGCAACGTGACTTTCAACGAAATTAAGTCACTTAAGAAGAAAAGGAGATGAAAAGTCAAGTAAAATCCAAGTTTAAATGAGAAAAGCAAAACCAGAAAGGCACAACAAATAGTGAACGTTAATTCTTTCTTTTAACATAATGAATAGATTCACTTCTCTTCCCTTTCAGTATCTAAATCTCAGATTAAAAATGATGTGCTTATATTCTTTTATGTATGTTGGATGCTGCTGTCATTTCTATACCATGAAAAACTTCGTTTTCAAGCATGGAATCTGCGAAGAACAACATTAACAAAAGTATAGCATTACATTGATTCACCTTTTATATTTTCTATCAAATTCAGTTCCATAAACAGAGAAGTCACGGTGGAGTAATGGATAGCGGCTCGTATTGAGGAATCGGAGAGCCGAATTCGAATTTCGGTCGAATCCATTACATTCACGTACGTACTAATACCCTTGGGAAAGGTAGGAACCATTTTCTTCTCCCCGCAGCTATGCGTAAATAGCAGAACAGACCGAGTTCTGTAGCCTTGGATGGCAACTGGCCTACCGCAGAAAGAAATGGCAACTGGTCTACCACACAAAGAAATGGCAACCTTCTGCTGGAAAAAAAATCTGCCTCGTCAGTCATGTATCTTTCGATACATGTTCGCCTAAGCGTGTTTCACGCATGGCACATAACTGACTGACTGAAACCGAGAAAATCTATTAACGCAAGCGCAAATATTTTTACCAGTAAAGATACGTAAATTTCACTTAAAATATGTCTTAGAACATCATATTTCTAAGATTGGAATGAAATGATGAAAAGGCAAAGAATTAAAATAAATAAAAGCCAACTGCAATGTTAATTTCTGCTACCATATAGTTGCATAATTTTAACATTTAAGAGAAGAAATTTACTACAAGTAGTCCTTGTATATTGATTTTATATTTGAAGGTTTCCATTTACTATAATGAAATATTTACGTATTTATCAGTTGTAATCAAGAAACACTCAGGTTGCGGATTTCACTTTTCACTTGATTCGAACAGCAACTATTACAATGTGCGAGAAATAAAATATGACTGCTATGTTTTTTTTTATTGTATGCAGCAATAAATACATGCAAGTGTTATAATAGTTATTAGGTTAGACTGTTCTCAGTGGCGTAGCTAAGGGGGGCGAGGGGGCGGACCGCCCCGTGTGCCAGCACAGCAGGGGTGACACAATGTCACCCCCAGCAAAATTTTTC